TCGAATATCAATTATATATTTAAAAGCTAAACAAAAAATTAATTGAACGATGTATAGAAGTTTCAAAAAAATAGTTCTATCGATCTTTTCAAATGTAATAAAAATGTATACCAACAAATTATTATAAATATTTAATTGAAAAAGTTCAAAGCTTCTTATTTAATTTTACATATTTCTGTATATCGCCTATATTACTTAAAAAAAAAATTAACATTCTGATAGTAGCGATACTTAGTATACTCGATATTGAATAATTTTGTATAATATCATTTACACAAAACTGTATCATTTATAATTTAAAACTGTCTCGTTCATCGCAGAGTGCATACATTATAAGTGGCAAACGTATACTTACCTTCCACTGTAATTTACATAAATTAACTGTATCAATATTTCTAATACGATTAAACATATTAAAACTCATAACCACACCCTTATGGTTTTTTCTTAGTTTATATTTAACTCTTTGTATCGTATTTATCAAGCCACGCATTATAATGATTAAAAAATGTTTGAAAAACTAAATTAAGCAACTATGCGTTTCTTTGTTCATAATAAACAAATAAAACAATGAAACGCTCGTCATTATTTGTCTATTCAATATTTACTAGTAAATTTGTATTTGCGATTTGAAATTGTTACTATGACAATGTTTTCGGTAACAGTAATAAAAATAGTGTTGATGATCATTTCGTACAATGTTTTCTCTTTTTACTTCTGGCCCCAGCCGATAAATTTTACAAACAACAAAGAACAGAAATGTCAAGATATACAGAATGTTTCATAGCTTGTAAACAGTCTCATTATTAAAAACTTCGTACATGCATAGAAATAACACCTAAACCGTATTAATCCTCGAGTAATGCGTAATTTTTAGTCTAACAATATTAAGCATTTTTGTTTTATATATTGTAATTTATAATAATTATACACATCGTGAAATATCTTTACAATGTTCTAAGGTAATAATAAGATTAATAGTAACAAATTAAATATAAATTTAAATATAGAAAATTAAATAACAAAAATAATTAATAAAAAATTATGTTATATTAATTAATAAATAATGATATGTTAATGATACAATTTTGATATAATATACGTATATACTAGTAAATAAATATTTCATTAAGTAACTTATGATTTGCTTCGTGAATTAATGGAAGTTTACAGCGACATGCTAGAGTGTTTACACGCATGCTTAAAACAGTGTACCAACTCGAGGATTAATAGAACCCTACTCATTCTTAATACCATCATAAAGTACTATACTAGCTGAGCATCAGTGAAAACTTATTTCATTGAAATACTTAAATCATTATTATATTGCTAGGCTTATACACGGTATATATTAAAGAAGAACGCAATCAAATAACCACAAAATATCTATTTATGACAAACTTTTAATAGCTGTATAGATATTAATGTACCAAACTGACGAACGATTTCTGTTGCAGGTTAGGATACATATAATATGAAATATTGATAAAATACGATCGCAAAGTGTATACTAAATTTTTCCATAAGCGACTAATTTACGACTCATGAAACACCCTGTATACATATGAACGTCAATTGTACTTCAACCAATTAATTACCAACATTTTTGTATAAGTCGAATATGATTCAAATTTAATAGGAAATAATCTGAACAACAATTTCTTAAATATATTTTCTTTCGTACATTAAATTTTATTCGAAATTGTTGCTCGGATTATTTGAAACACTATTAAACATTATTCGATATCAATTTCACCGTTAAATATGTATGCATGGAAGTAATAAAAATTATTATTCTCATCGCGTATGCCACAATTATACATTCAAGCACATCGATAAATAAAAAATAGAAATACTGCAAAGCACCGTAAAAGAAGAATAATCGACATGGATCGATATTAAGGTTATCATCAGTATTTTTACATAAAAGTAGGCTAAAATAAACGACAAATATCGCTATTCGTTAGTTACGTGTTTGAAACGATATTTCACACTGGTAAGAATCACTAGATGCTACACAATCGTGAACTGTACATTTCGTCTAAATTTGTTTAAAACCTTCTGTTTAATGTAAAGCTTGCCGGATATTGATTCAAAAGGAAACATAACTTTTGCGATACTGAAAATATAAAAGGCATACACGTTTATGGGATACAAACTGACAAGAAGCTCAAGTTAACAAAGGCAAGTATAGTATCCTTAATCTCAGTTACGCGAAAATTCGCGCAAAAAAATCAGCAAACCGCACGGTTTGAGAATCCATGATGAATCCATTAAGAATTCATTAAGTTAATCATTCGCGAACTGGAAGTTCTATTTTGATTAAAGCGAATGCCAAGTCTTGAAGAGCTTCGCATACACGAATCGTATTTGCCTATACAGACTTAAACGATTAAATTTTTGGACACGCTCGATGAAAATTTGTCGGCTATGTTGAATGAACAGAGGATATGCAATGTTTTTGTTTCTTTTTTTTTGTGCAATGTTCCCACATTAACCATCGTTAAAGTATATATCTGTATTTGTTTCGCTTGCGCTATGAAGAAAAGCTGTTGGTTTGCTTTCCTTCCTGTCGAAGACGAGTAGCGGTGAAACCGCACTTAGATCTACACAAAAATGCGAGTTACACGATATCTACATGTTGCGGCTCGCCTTTTGAACAATTTCGATTATCCTGATAAAATGCATCGGCGCATCGTAGTCACATACGTGATGCGATTCCACTTATGCGATAAAAACGAATATAAAACTATTTGTAAAAGATCGCAAGAACGGTGTGTGATGCATCTACATGCGCCGCATTTCGTTCATCCTGCGATCGTTTTATTTAGGCTCGATTATTACCGATAAAACGGGATATAAAGGTAAAACGTGTATTCCTACGTTTCTCTTTCGGCATACGGCGCACGACGATACTCACAATTCTTCATCTACGCACACACGTAGGTAATACTAACACGATTTCTTATGCATGTATATTTCATATCTAATTGATCGATATAGATAAAATAATAAATATAAAATATATTAAATCGCCATAAAAGGATTTTGAAAAATGAAAAAGTGGTTTGGTATTATATAGGTTTTTTTTCTTTAAACGTGTTCCTTATCATATTGCATTTCTCAATTATTTTTTTCTTTTTTTTTTTTTTTTTTTTTTTTTTTTTCAACGTCTTGCCATTATTATTTTCGCATCGCTCACACGCATACACAGACAGGAACAATCACGGGCGCTCTCCCCTTCCCCTATCTATACTACATATAATATTTCGTTCTATCGGAAATAACTTAGTATCTATATCCAATATATTAGATATTAAATAATAATCGTATCATCAATATATTAATTTTAAATAATATAATTTCTAACAAAACACCCGCCACTCAACAAATAATCAAAAATATACGTCGGCGATATTCTTATTTGGAATTTCAGTAAAAATAATTACGTTTCTAAGATTTCTACTCATTATTATAAACTCTTGTTTAATACAATTATATTATTGGCTAACGTAAGGTTTCTTGTAATTCACAAATACATTTTTGGCATACTACGATGCGATACATTGACTATGCGCTAATGAATAATATATGACTCAAAATAATAAAGATGCAAGAGATTATTATACAACCACGTTTTTCCCTAAAAGAATAGAGATTGTGATTTTAAAGAAGTTAAATAAAGCGGTAATATTCATGATAAGAAATATACAAGTACGTGACGGGTTGGAATATAAATATTGTTAAAAAGATCGAAACAAAATGACAAAATACAGCATTATTCCATGCAATAATCGAGTATGAAATATCATTCTAAACGGTTTGAATCGTGTACTTCTTTTCGGCTAAATAATGATCCTACGTACTCGATAAGACTATTTCACGTAAAAGAGTAAAAAGAAAAAACGAAAATAAATAAATATTTATAGATTTACAATGAAAAAAATTATTAAATACTTATTATGATATGGCAGTTCGAAAAATTTAAATTATAATTTTATAATTTTCAAAAAAGTTTTGTAACTCTTCGAGTACGCAAAATTTACTGTTTCATTTAAATTTTAATCAGATCAATTCCATTTCTCGACACTCTGTTATTAATGATCGTTATTAAAAAATGAAACTTATATTATTTCTGTGTATTAAAATAATGCGTATGCATGGGTCTTATGAACCATCGCAAGACAATGGAAGTGTTCTCTTGCTCGCTTTCATTTTTCGTCTTATTCATAGAACACAGTGCATACATTACTATTTTCACTAGATGGTCAAATACCCCAGGCGTTTGATTTCTACCTTGAAACTGTTCGAAGGTCCCCTCCAAGAAGGGCGCCATAATAATACATAGCATATAAGTATTTGTATTTCCAATGTGAAAAATATTCATTTAAGTGTTGTAAATACTATCTCACAAAAAATATGACTCTCTCTATAAAATTGTCAAATTCTATTATCTCCCTAAAAACGTGCTCCATTCGTGATAAAACAACCCGTATTGATGAAATAGTAGTCACACCAACTGCTCTTTAACACGTGAGCATCGGACGTACATCAAATAGACTTTTCATTGTCAAGCTATTGCAATTTTGGAACATTGCAAATTCTTGATTATTCATTTGAATATGTCCCTCCTGGTGCTATATAATGAATTTTATACATTTTATGCTTTCTTCATCATAGATTTAAAAATACGAGCATCAAAACGTTTGTTACTAGAATTAATAAATAATTCAAGATTTTTATTATATCGCAAGTTAAAAACGTAGAAAATGAATAAAGCAGTAATATCTACTTTATGATATTATTACTTTAAAATATTATTACTGATATTTTTTTTTATATTAACGAATTTAAGAATTCGATTTGTTTGTATTATATACTACAAACCTAGAGCTTTTCCTTTTCTTTAAAAACATAAAACTTTTTATACAATGAAATTTATCTTCCAAATAACCATTGCTTACAATAAATAACATGCGATTAAGAAGTTCTATGCGTGCTCGATAACCAATGATCGTAACAAAAATGCGTATATGCCTATAAAAATTTATCTAACTTGTAAAGCTTTAAAAATGATCAAAAACGTTAATGAAAATTCATCCACCCTTAAAATCAAAATAACTTGATTAATGTGTAGTTACGCTTGAAGGGAGACCTACGTCCAGTTTCAACTTATGCAGCAAACTTTGTGCATTCCATTGGTTCCTGTTCAAAGCGCTTTATAAAAAATCGAGTCATCCAGGATTCTTAACAAGTTTTTTACCGCGATAATCGTAAACACGTCGACAAAAGAGAACCATATCCGAGGGTACTGGTATCGGGGGCTGCCGATTTTCTCTTGGATATAGTTGATCTCCCGGCGGAACTATTAAACCGGGACTTTCTAATCCCTCTTCGATTCTTCGTAAATTTTTACGATACCTATAAATTATATCAACATTATATTTTATCAAAAACTTTTGTGCTACTATACAGAGCAATTTCTAATTAAATTACAGATTATGTTTAGGATTAAAATAGATTTTATTTTTATATTTTTATGCTATCACTTCATATGAATGTGAACATTAATTATCCTAAACTATTCAACTTTGAACATTTATTTTTTTCCTATCTATGCTGTACTGATTATTTTAATGAAATATGATGTATATAATAATAATTAATGCACGAAATATTAACTTATATTAACTCACCGACAATATTCATTAAATGTCAAAATATAACATTTATCTTCTATACAAGCAACACTATTTGCATCTCGATGACGTGAAGCGAAGACTTCGTCTTCGGTGTCGTATTGAGTTCTACCTTGCTCGGTATGTTCAGGTCTGTAGTACCATAACAAAGAAAACATCATTTCACCTGTAACGCAATTTAATTTTGTTATTTCGTTTAATTTTACTCTACTATTAACCACATTAACTAACAAACCATCGTCTGGATTTTCCCATAAGGCGGCAATTTTTGCCACAAATGGTAAATCTGCTTTACGTGGACCACTTTTTAATAACACGCAATCACGAGGTCTTAGAATATCACCACTTTCATGCTTCATGCTAGCATAACATCGACGTATAGCTGATTCTTCGTTCTAAAATAAATAATAAAATAAATCAAATATATATATATACCGTGAAATAATCTTTTAACTAAAAAACATATAACTATATGTTTACCGTTAAATAAACTTTGGCTTCAAATGGATCGCCTTCCCAACTCCAACCATTACTCCATTTGGGTTTTAAGAATGTTTTTCTAGTTAATATTAGGCTTTCACTTCCTATTAAGGAATCTTCAATTTTAGAACTAGATTTTTTAACAGGTGGTTTTTTAGTACTTTTTCGCTTCTTTTTTATTAATGCTGACTTTTTAGTAGACTCAAGAATATCATGTGCTTTAGATTTTGTTGTACTCTCATGTTTTTTCCCATTATCTTTTGCTTTTGTTTCATATGCTTTAGGTTTACTCTTTCCTTTACATCTATTCTTCTCATGTGTTCTTGATTTTGTTCGTGTTTCTGTTTTACCTTTAGATTGACTGTTTTTTGTAATTACTTTTGACAATTTCTCTGATGCTAATTCTTTTACCAAATCAACTTTTCTAGCTACCTTTTTCACTGCTGATAATAAGTTTACTTCTTTCTTTGTTTTTTCTAATTTTTCAGTATTCTTACTTTTACGATCTCGTTTCTGTGTCATTTGTAAACTTTGTTGAATAACATTATTAATAGTTTCCATAATGGAATTATCACTGGCAGCATGCTTTAAACAATTTGGAATATTATTACTTGTACTTTGTTTAGAAGTCTTTGACTTTTTTATTGCATTTTCAGAACAATTTGAATTTTCTATTTTACGTTTTTGATTTTGATTATCTCTTTTAGGATGTTTTTTCTTTGAAACACCTTCATCACTGTTGCTATCAATCTTTTTTATAAGTGATAAGATTGGTATAGAAATTTTTGTTGAAAAATCACTACTATTTAAATCTTGTGAAGAGCCAACAGAAAGTGTCCTTTTGCTTACTTTCCTCTTTTTTCTACTATCAGATAAGCTATCTAAAGATAATTTTCTTTTTGATACTTTTTGACATTTTGGTTGTTCTGTTTCTGACTTTTCTATACTTTCTTTATCCACAGTTTCTTCAATGGTTTCTTGCACAGTTGGTTCATAATCTGGTTTTTTCCAATTTTCACTATCAATTGCAATAACATTGCTCAATTCCTCTTTAACATCGGGATCTGTATCCAATTTATCATCAAGTAATATTCCAGAATCTTTGTCAATTTCTAGAATGGCCATTTGACCTTCTTTCATACATTGTTCACATTTCATAATATCGCACTTGTAATCTGATTCACACTTAACATTACAATTTGCAACACACGACAAATTATCGCCCATTTCCACACTGCAGGATTCACATTTCACATTATTATTTTCTAATTTAAAATTGTGAAATTTGCTTTGACAGTTTGTCACTGCTAACTTTTCAGAAGGTGAAAGAGTTTCCAATTTAACTTCACAGGTTGATGTACATGCACGTTTCTGACACCCGCACTTTTGTAATTTATCTTCTGCACAATCCTTTTCATCCTAAAATAATTCAATTATAATCTATAAATATAGAATATAAATATACCTCTTATTAATTTATTAAATTATTATATTTTATACATTTAATCTAATTACTATAACTGTTATATTTATTGAATGTAAACATGAAATGTGTTTGACAACTCATACCGCAAATATACGTAGATGTACCGAAAATACATCCTGATAGTGAGTAATAGAGAGTACTAAGTTGACAATATCAGAGTTATGGTAGTGACACCAATACAGATGCGTTAACCCGTAACTCGGGTATACGTACTTACACACTGTCTGTCACCATATCGCAAGTGAAGTATTAACACAGCAATGAAACTATTGATTATAAAAATCATTCCCAAACCGATAGAAATTCAAATACTCAAATGGAAAATCATCAAAATACCTCAAAACACTCTACCAAAGCTAAAACCTCATATGAAAACGCTAAGAAACAAGAGTATATCTCAACCCAATATCAAGCTATAATCCTGCAATCAGTTGACAGTATTACCAACAAAGACTATGCTCAAACGATTGAAAATATAATAGGATCTAATAATAATTATTATTCCGGTAATTAAGAAACAACACTTAATCATCACTAATAATCTGAAGGTCGATGCGTCGTAGAACTCAAATAGAAGTCAAATAGAAGAAATAGAAGAAAGAAAAAATCAATTTTAATTAATTCTTAAATATTTGATACTTTTGTAACTCTATAGCGATGAGTGACCTAGTTAGCAAATGCTTAATTTTTTTACATGTCACCATCTAAAACGACAATACGTGCCAAAGATCATTTTTATAAAATAAAAGTTTGTGTAGTATTTATATACAAATTTAAAGAGCAGGAAACGTGTATTATAAACGCGCACTTTTCAAAGCCTAGGCATTGAAAATTTGAAATAATTTTCACTTTTGAAAGTCCTCTGTCTACGTAGTGCACCCGCTGATGAAATTGCTCCCTCACTGAAGAATTAATAATACAGAAAGTATAATAATTTCAACAGTAAATCAGTGATTAACGAGTTAGAAGAATATTAAAACATGATAAAATTGATAAGATAGCATGATTTAACTCATAAAATATTCGGAATATAATACAAACCTTATTCTTACAATCCGAATTTTGTGGGCGCTTATGTCCACCGACTAGATTGTGAGACGGAGGGACCGAAGGTTGGTTCTGATTCAGGTTGCGATGAGTGTTAAGTTGGACGCGATCCGTATCCCAGGCATTGGCACCGTGAGGCGGCGCTAGCCCGGCTAGCCCCCTCGCCGGCGAGGGCGGACCTACCAAAGCACTGGGTGGCAATGACAGACCGTGCCCCGATACCACTGGCGCTCCCTTACCATTACCAATAAGGGGCCCAGTATCCACGTTTTTTGGACAAGACTGCATCGGGCATGGGCAAACCTGACAGGCAGCATCTAAAACAAATTATTAAATATATAATCGTAATTTACTTTTATTATTTTCTTTATTATTTTCATTATCTTCTTTTATTATTTTCATTCTTTTAATCTTGTCCTGTATAATCTAATCATCAGTAAAACACCTAATATACTTATATAATTGGAGCATTAGAATGTATTTTTTTAATGAGGTTTTTAAATAAAATTTGTTTTTGTAATCTTATGCCAATAATTAGCAAAATATAATATCAGGTCAGCTGTAAGCCCTAGCAATATAATTCATAATGTTTCTATGAGAAAATATCGAAACTAATTTGCAGTCGTATTACTTAATTGCAGTACTTGAACTATGGATTTAAATGTTTGATAATTGACTAAAATACTTACGATCTACAAAAGGTCTTCCCTGAGAATGTAAGTATGCCGGATTCGGTGGAGGAGGAGGAGGTGGTGGAGGTGGAGGATATCCTCCATAATATGGCAGGGGGTATTCACCAGGTGGTGGCGGGGGTGGTTGATAATCAACAACTGCTGGTCCTCCTGCAGTACCACCACTACCAGGACCACCGCCCCCACCAGATTCCTGATATCCATAATACTGCCTAAAAAAGTACCTTTTTTACAGTAAATTATCAAAATTAAATACTGTCATGATTTTGTTAAAATGACATAAAATAGCATGGTTATAATGTTTTACCTTCTATAAGTTGGGGCATATTTATAATAAGGCGGTGGATGAGCATGTGGATGAGAATATGTTGGTGGATAACACAGATCTGCGTATTGTGGTGGTGTACTATAGTACTGAGGACAATATGCCCTATAAAACCCACCTCCTAAAGAAAGGAAGGAAAAGAACAAGAATAGTTAAATATTTATGAATTAATTGATACAAAATTTAAACTTGTTACAATTACTCTACAAAACAATATTTTCTGAATCAGTACAATTAACATTTCTCTTTATTGTTTTTATGCAGTTCAATAATTCCTGGAACAAACAAATCACTAGCTTTAACCAAAACGAAAATTTGTTTATAACTATAAAACTATTCATTTTTCAATCTAAATTTATTAGTTTATATTTATTTATATTTAGAAAATACTTTCTATGCTTACATTTCTAAACTCATTTTTTTTTATCATCCTGTGATTGAACCTTGAATGTATAAAATAAGTTATTTATAAAAATTTATCAATTTGCTTCAATATGGATAAATAAAATACTAGAATGTAAAATAATATTGCTAATAAAATTACTTTTTGCCTTTACAGAACGAATTGTTACAAAAAATTAATATTGTATAAAAGTTAATTTCATGCTAGTATGTGAAAAATATTTGTTTTCACAAACAGTTTATTATATGATTATAACATACTGTTACTGAACATATCTAATAAATAACATTCTATTTTGAGAAATGAAATTAATTATACAATCTTTTGAATGTTTCTGCTTAGAATAATTTTTATCAGATCTTTATATCTTTATATCTAAATAATGGCTTATAAATATGACTCACAATGATTCATAAAAATAACCATAAGTGTTTTTTCAAAACTATTTGCATTCCTTAGCTATTTATATTGACATTTTGTTAATAATCCCTTTATTGATATACTTTCCCCTAGTAACTAAAAACATTACTAATGTATATATAACTTTAAAACCATTACAATAACCATTATAATCATTATAATGGATATTTCTGAAGTTAAACACTTTATTAACCACTTAAGTGAAATACTACATTTGAAATACTTTATCAAACATTGTTAATTACAATTCGAAGAAAAAAAAATTTACTTCCTCATGCCTCACTTATTGAAACTCAATTATAAAGATATAATTTAATACAGACTATGTATTTCATGATATGCAAATAAAAATTTATCAATAGATTTTGAAAAATTAATTCTAAATACAAAAAATTATGAAAAATATACTTTCAAAACTCGATAGCTAAGAAATAAATAATATTTAAGAAAAAATATCAATGTTGATACAATAAAATTAATTTTTTCTAATAAAATAAATAATAAAATGAATTTTTTCTCCTCAAATATAAATTTTTTCATTATTTTTCTTTACTTAAAGAATTTTTAAGTCTCTAAATTTTGTTTCCTAGTATCTGTAAATGATTTCATTTTCAAGTTTGGGTTAGATAAACAATTATAAAAATGGTTAATTTGTTTTAAAACCCTTACACATTTTATAAATTGACCAAAAAATTTGCTATTTATTTTTGGATGATAAATTAGCAAATACTATAATTAAAATTTTATTATATTAATAAAACATTCAGAAATGATACAAATTATAATTAAAATTATTATATATAACAAAAAATGTATCTGTTATAAAAATGTTCAACAATCATATCAATAATTATCGAGTAATGAGAGATTTAACAAAACATTTAACAAAAAATTAACTTAATATGAATAATAATCTTTAACAACAAATTAGACAATTTAATCAAAAGAAAAATTCTTTTAAATTTAAAAAAATTTAGAAAAAGTTTAAAAGTAATAGAAAAAATTAGAAGTTAGTAATGATGCAGCAAAAATAGCAAAAGTTCAGAATAGAATTACAGTAATTTAAAATTAAAATAATTAAAATTTTAAAAAAGAAAATTGAGAACAATATTTATTAAAAGTCACAAAATATTATGTTTTTTCTGATTCTAATCAAAACAAAAATAGATTCACAATTAACATGAAACCTGATGCAAAATAACGAATTTATGAATGAAAAACATACATTTAGTATTCGTTAAATCAGTTCTCAAAGATATAACAATATATTAATGTATTTTCAAATCATACAGGTAATTGGAATTTATTTTATCATATTTCCGAAATTGCAGAATATATTAAACACAAATTAGATCTAACTTGTTCGAATAGTTAAAAATAAAATGATTATAGAAGTACACAAACAAAAATAAATTAATCAGTTCCATGACTTTGGAACTAAGTAACAGTCTGTAATTCACCTAGTATTCAATTATAAATAAGTAACCTGTTCCAATGATTATATAGAAATATTATGAAATATTTTGTTTATGTGTAATTGATTATATATGACGAGAAGACAATAATGAAATATTTAAAGGAAATTATGAAAATTATGTACATGCTACATGTATAAAAATCTTTAAACATTTATACATACAATAATGAGTTATAATTCTTATTATTATGTTGATAAGAAGTTATATTTTATATATTTCTAAAAATAATATAGCATCTTTAACGATAAGCATATTATTACAAAAAAAAAACGAATTTTTTTTTTTAAAGTACTTTAAAAATGTGACATTTACATCATATAATTATAACTACATTTTAAATTCTTAAATCCTTAAATTTTTATAAATTTGTTTATCTATTTTCTAATGGTTTTGTACCATATTATGCCTTATTAGCAAATATTTACTTGTTAACAATACAAATAAAAATCAGTATATTAAATTCTGAAAAATTATTTTCTGAAATATACCTGTACTACTAGTTCCTCCAGAAGTTGTAGAAGTTGCAACTAAATCATCTGAACCTTCAGAATTTTGCGGAGGTGTAGGAGTTGGTTCTGGAGGAGGACCTTTAATAGGTGGTAAAGTTGGTGGGTGTTGTATCAGTGGTCCAGCCGGCTGATAATACCCTTCACACATGTTATATTTCTATATATATATATATGTTTGTTCTTTTAAATATCAATTTAATTTCTAACATATTTTATATTTATTTAATAAATAATTATAATAAATCGCGTAATTAGCTTACCATGTTGATGTGGTGCTGAAAATGCAGAGTGTCTTCGAGGTGACATGTTTGGATGATTACTTTGACTACCAGGTGGTTGCATTGAAGATAATGCCCCTAATGGCGTATATGACTTACAAGGTTGCTCCAATTTTTGCTATTATGAAGAATACAAATACACACTTATAGATTTTCATATTAATATTTTTCTTAAATGAATAAAAACTTCTAAAAATTACACTAGAGGTTAAACAATTCTTTTTTTCTCCTCAAATATAAATTTTTTCATTATTTTTCTTTACTTAAAGAAATTTTAAGTCTCTAAATTTTGTTTCCTAGTATCTGTAAATGATTTCATTTTCAAGTTTGGGTTAGATAAACAATTATAAAAATGGTTAATTTGTTTTAAAACCCTTACACATTTTATAAATTGACCAAAAAATTTGCTATTTATTTTTGGATGATAAATTAGCAAATACTATAATTAAAATTTTATTATATTAATAAAACATTCAGAAATGATACAAATTATAATTAAAATTATTATATATAACAAAAAATGTATCTGTTATAAAAATGTTCAACAATCATATCAATAATTATCGAGTAATGAGAGATTTAACAAAACATTTAACAAAAAATTAACTTAATATGAATAATAATCTTTAACAACAAATTAGACAATTTAATCAAAAGAAAAATTCTTTTAAATTTAAAAAAATTTAGAAAAAGTTTAAAAGTAATAGAAAAAATTAGAAGTTAGTAATGATGCAGCAAAAATAGCAAAAGTTCAGAATAGAATTACAGTAATTTAAAATTAAAATAATTAAAATTTTAAAAAAGAAAATTGAGAACAATATTTATTAAAAGTCACAAAATATTATGTTTTTTCTGATTCTAATCAAAACAAAAATAGATTCACAATTAACATGAAACCTGATGCAAAATAACGAATTTATGAATGAAAAACATACATTTAGTATTCGTTAAATCAGTTCTCAAAGATATAACAATATATTAATGTATTTTCAAATCATACAGGTAATTGGAATTTATTTTATCATATTTCCGAAATTGCAGAATATATTAAACACAAATTAGATCTAACTTGTTCGAATAGTTAAAAATAAAATGATTATAGAAGTACACAAACAAAAATAAATTAATCAGTTCCATGACTTTGGAACTAAGTAACAGTCTGTAATTCACCTAGTATTCAATTATAAATAAGTAACCTGTTCCAATGATTATATAGAAATATTATGAAATATTTTGTTTATGTGTAATTGATTATATATGACGAGAAGACAATAATGAAATATTTAAAGGAAATTATGAAAATTATGTACATGCTACATGTATAAAAATCTTTAAACATTTATACATACAATAATGAGTTATAATTCTTATTATTATGTTGATAAGAAGTTATATTTTATATATTTCTAAAAATAATATAGCATCTTTAACGATAAGCATATTATTACAAAAAAAAAACGAATTTTTTTTTTTAAAGTACTTTAAAAATGTGACATTTACATCATATAATTATAACTACATTTTAAATTCTTAAATCCTTAAATTTTTATAAATTTGTTTATCTATTTTCTAATGGTTTTGTACCATATTATGCCTTATTAGCAAATATTTACTTGTTAACAATACAAATAAAAATCAGTATATTAAATTCTGAAAAATTATTTTCTGAAATATACCTGTACTACTAGTTCCTCCAGAAGTTGTAGAAGTTGCAACTAAATCATCTGAACCTTCAGAATTTTGCGGAGGTGTAGGAGTTGGTTCTGGAGGAGGACCTTTAATAGGTGGTAAAGTTGGTGGGTGTTGTATCAGTGGTCCAGCCGGCTGATAATACCCTTCACACATGTTATATTTCTATATATATATATATGTTTGTTCTTTTAAATATCAATTTAATTTCTAACATATTTTATATTTATTTAATAAATAATTATAATAAATCGCGTAATTAGCTTACCATGTTGATGTGGTGCTGAAAATGCAGAGTGTCTTCGAGGTGACATGTTTGGATGATTACTTTGACTACCAGGTGGTTGCATTGAAGATAATGCCCCTAATGGCGTATATGACTTACAAGGTTGCTCCAATTTTTGCTATTATGAAGAATACAAATACACACTTATAGATTTTCATATTAATATTTTTCTTAAATGAATAAAAACTTCTAAAAATTACACTAGAGGTTAAACAATTCTTTAAATATATAACAACCAACCTGGTCATGGAGCTCAGTAGCAACTGCAGTAGCTGCAGTTTGAGTATGACTTGTCGAACTTATTCTATATTGCATTCCAGCAATGCTGCAAAAACCTTCATGATGTGTAGATCGAGTTTGATTAACATAAACACCTTAAATTAAAAATTTTGTTTTAATTAATAGTAGACATACAAAAATTAAAATTAATTAAATTAATTAAATACCAGTAATAGTAACATCTGTATCTTGATTTACAATAACAAGTTTATTAGATGGTTTTAGAACTTCATCTTGTTCTGCATTTTGCCTAGACTTTCGTTTTTCAATATCAGAATCATTTTGTTTACGTTTTTTAATAATTTCCACTTCTGATTCACTGGAAGAATCAGAACTACTACCACAACGATTTTTTTCATCTGAATAGGAAGCAGCTAGAATAGCTGTAGCATTGAGACTTGCCATTCTTTTACAAACAACCATATCTTTCAAATCCATTACTTCTTCATTTTTCTTCCTTCGCTTGATTATTTTTTTCTTGTTATGTTCTATAGTTTTATCACGTTCGCTTTCATCATCAGAAGAAGATGAAGTTGAAGAACTTTCTATCATATCCCAATGTTTCCCACGTAATCCTGGAACATTTCTAAGTTTTCTTTTCGGAATATTTTCTTCTGTTTTAGTTTCTGGCTTCTTTTCTTTTTCTTTTCGAATTTGTTCTTCTTTCTCTTCTTTAGTTTTCTTTTGCTTTTCTTTTTCAGGTTTTGGTTTACAAAAACCACCAAGGTAAACACCTCCAGTCTCATTTTCATATAAACAATGAACTTTGGCCAATGCATTTAAGGAAGCAACTCTATGTCGCTTTGGTCCACTCCAGAAACCAAACAATCTCATTCTTCTAACACGTTCATCAGATGGTGAACTAGCTCTTTCTCTTCTCTTAATTTCTTTCTGTTTATTTTTCTTTGCCTCATCATCACTTTCATCTTCTGATTCTGATGATAAGATATTATTACTTATATTGTCTCCATTAATTGGTTCATCTTTCAAATTCGTATCAACTATATTTTCACTATCAATTGGTTCTTGTTTAGAAGAAATATTATCATTTAGACTATCTTCAGAAACTTTGATTTGTTTGCTAGATTCCTCAGAAGATGTTTCTTCAGAAGAAGAAAATGTTTGGTTAATGTTCTCCATTTGTACTTTTACAGTTTTCTTTTTCATAACCTTTTTGCCTATTTTTGGTGCAGATTTAACAATTTTTTTAATATCTGGAGACTTTGATTGTAATTGTAATTGTGATTGTGATTGTGTCTGTGATTGTAATTGTGATTGTGGTTGTGATTGAGGTTGTGGTTGTGATTGCAATTGCAATTGCGATTGCGATTGCGATTGCGATTGCAACTGCGATTGTGATTGCGATTGCGATTGCGATTGCGATTGCGATTGTGATTGCAATTGCAGTTGATCTTCTTTACTACTTTTATCAATGCCCTTATCTTCTTCCAATTCACTTTTTATGTCTGTTGTGTTTGCTTCTTCATTTACTTCATCTTTACTTATAATTTTTTTGTGTTCATTTAAAGATTTTTCTGTTTCCTTTATATCTATCTTTTTTTTAGATATAACTTTTTCCACAAGTGTTTTTAATTTATCATCCTTTTTTAAAGCAGTATTTATTTTATTATTTTTTGAAGGCAACTTAGCTTTCATATGTTTTCCTAGCTTTGGTTTTTTCTCTTGTATAATTTTATTCTTAGAATTATTAACATTTTTCCTTTTTGTTCTTTTCATTGCCTCATCTTCTTCACTTACCGATGTTTCTTCATCTTTTACCAATCTGTTTAACTTAATTTTTTTATCCACCAATTTTTGAACTACTGATAAGTGTGACTTTTTTGCTAAAACAGTCTTTCTAGAGATACCTTTCTTTTGCATTGATTTTGTCTTAGAATCCTTCTTAGTTCGTGCTAAAGAACTTTTAGTATTTATAGTACCTTTTTCAATAAGTTTTTTACGTTCTGATTTTTTATCCTTTATCACAGACATTTTTATATTTTCCTTAATGTCAGATTTCACTAATTTTGAATCTTTCTTTTTCTCGTCTTTACATTTTTTCTTAGCAATGGAACAAAGGATATCTAACTTTTCTTCATGCAAATCATTCTCTTCTGTAATATTTAGAAGTTTTGTTTGGTCTTCCACATTTTCATCATCACATTTACCACTTTTCTTTTTATCATCCACTTTTTCAGGCTTTTTCTTATTTTCCATAACTTGCTTATCCAATTTTACCTTCTCTTCTATTTTTTGTACTTTCCTTTTTTCTGCACTGTCATAAGTACACTCATCTGTAATTTTTTCATCTGTTTTATCTAATTTCTTTTCTTCAACTTTGTCCCACTTTTTTTCATGATCTTTTGTACACTTTTTTTTTTCATCCACTTTTTCACATTTCTCTTTTCGCTTTTCTTCAATTTTCTTCTTATCTTCTATCTTCTTCTTCTCTTCAGCTTTTTCTGACTTTTTCTTGTCACTTTCTATTTTCTTTTTTACATCTTCTCCTTTTTCAAGCTTCTTGGGCTTTTTCTCTTTCCTTATATCAGATATAGATTTCTCTAAAAATGAGCGACGTTTTTTAGCAATTGTTGGCATTTTTGTTGCCTTCCGAGCAACTGCTGCCTTTTTCTGTGGCTTCATTATGATTGTTTTCTTTACATTTTCAGTTTGATAGAAATATGCTCAATATTGAAAAAAAACGCTGAGCAAACCATTAAAACTACCTAACTGCCATTGTAAAATATTATAAATATTATAACTTTCTTCAAGCTGACTAAATCTGAAAATAAAAAAATATATATATATAAACTTATTAATATTTATTATAGACGAACGACATGAAACATACAAAAGCAAAATGAACTACTTCTGAAATTTATTTTCTAAAGATATATTTTTAACAAAAAAAACTTTAACGTACGCATTAAAAGCTTTTATAATGTAAAAATAATTTGATTCATTCTCTTTTTTTTGTGAGAATCTCAAGATGACGACCAACTGACACTAGTACTTTAGTGTTATTCAAAACGAAACACGTTTATAGATACACAAAATATAAGTACAGTAAAACCAGCTCTGTATTTTTTAATAACCGAGAAAATATACAAATTTTACTATAACGACAAAATAGAAAAGAATTACGATCGAGACTGTCGGATGCGCGCACTTTCATCGACTTGTTGACAAATCGATCCCTTTAAATTTCATTGCTTCCATCATTTAACATACATCAGATAAAGTCGCTGTTCAAGATTTTTTACTAGGATTTTTTAACATTTCATAGACAAGATGTACTATATTCACAAAAAATACAGAACCTACGTTACAGATAAAGAAATTAAAAGGACAAGGACAACAGGATACCTTTTAAATGTATCCGTAGATGGCCACAAGTGGCTAACATAAACCTACTCTACTGATCGATGAATTTGTCACGTACGAAATTTTGCCAGACTCATACACTATTATGAAGATTTCTAGTAATATATTTTCAATAAAATCACTTATATGTTCACTATATAAATGTATTTAAATGATAAGAAATAAACGCAAAGTAACGCATAATTTATGTTTACCTCTAGCGAGCCCTTTTATTCCTACACACGGCCCGCGAACGCTTTTTTAAACGATAAATTAATACACTAATACTATAGACTAGTCTGACAATATTTTACTTAAATACACCACCGAAAGAGGCAATAACACGGCCGTTTTATTAATACTTCCCGTCTGGTTTCACAAGATCTAACACGGATTTCACATTTCTTTCTCCCGAAACATGTATCTCACTCGACGTCCCTGCCCTTTTACCGTTGCCTTGTCGGCCATTTTCTTCCTCGCGCCGCTCCCCCACTCCTCCTTTTATACGTTACCAAATAGCAGATTCTCTGTTCCGTTTTCCTTTACATCTCCACTAGATGGAATCACGTTTCCATTATCACAACGGTAAAGATTTTGTCATATCTTATTCATAAATTAAAAAAGAGTAGAAAGTAATACAAATAAAAACAAACCATAAGGAGAACATTTTAATACATAAAAATATATTTTCAATAAGATAATGTAATAAATTTTTACAATTTGCAATGTATGTATTTATAATGTATTACGGCTTATAATGTTAATAACTTATAACTTTATATAAATTTATTTATATAAAACTTTATCATTTAAAAAGTATTTTATTGCAAAAATATAATTACAATGAACATGATTCTATACAAATATAATTTTGAAAAATAACTTTTTTGTAACAAACCAAAGTTTTTATAACAATTTTATCATTATTTTATTTTGTGTTTTCATCACTTAATTATGTTCATTGTGTGAATCTTAACAACATTGCTTCTACAATATCTCCTGGTTGTAATGTAGATTTTTCTGCCTTACGTCCTGGCAACATTAATAAAGCATTTGCACTTTTGCAGCTAAGTAATCTACTGCTAATTTGATTTCCAGTACTGTGTGCTAGTGGCAGGGTATCTGAATTAGTCCATGTTAAAATTGCTCTTGCATATTCAGGACGTGGATCCAAATTATATGATGACACCAACTATCATTAAAATATACATTAAGTACTACGCAAATTAATAATTTGAAATATATAAATGTACTACATACTTTTGTTTTCAGAATTATAGGTGTAGAAAAATCTTTGCACAATTGTTTTATTAAAGGTAAAGCAAATAAATTCATAGTAACAGTTGCAGAAACTGGATTACCTGGTAAACCCAATATGTATTTTTTTTTATTTTGAAAGGAACATGTTGCAAAGGTAGTTGGTTTTCCAGGTTTCATGTTCACACGTCCTAAAGTTTAAATGTTTAAATACTTACTATAGTGTTTAAATGTTCTACAACAATAGTATTATTTCAATAATAGTATTACCAAAATGTATTGTAGCATTGAAATAATGTTGCAGAATAGGCTTCAGCATGTCTCTATCACCCATTGATACAGAACCAGATGTTATAAGTACATCAACTTGCTTTAAAGCATGTTTAATTTTGTGTACCATAACGTCTTCACTATATAACATATAATAATTAGATTTGAATAATTTTTTTTTAATGTATGAAGTAATATATAAATAGACTTACTCATCTACTGCAATGCCCATGTCCAAAGGATCAAAGCCATTTTCTTGTAACATTGTTAATAATGTAATTTTATTGCTATCGTATATGTGACCTGGCATTAAAACCATTCCAGGACATTGTAACTCATCTCCTGTAGATAATACACCAATTTTTGGAAGATCAATGACTGATACCTTTTTGTAACCACAAGCTGCAGCAAGACCTAATTCAACTGCACCAAGTTTTGTCCCTGATGTTAAAATTAACTCTCCTTTTTTAATATCACACCCAATTGGTCTTAAAATATATTAAAAAATATATATGTATAACTAATACTATCTAACTAATTTATGTTACTAAAAACAAAATACCTAATGTCTTGTCCAGATTGTACTACAGTTATAATTTCAATTTCTGTTTCCTCCATATTATCTGAAGTGGTATTTACAAGTTTGGTATCTTCAACTTGAATAACTGCTGTTGCATCTTCAAAATAAAAATAATAAAAATCAATAAAAGATAATTAAAAATATTATTCTGATCAAGTATATTGAACATACCATCTGGAATAGGAGCACCAGTATTTACTCTGACACATGTACCAGGTTCAAGTTTAATTGCAGTAGCCTACAAATTTATAACACTGAAATTTCATAGTAATCACATTAAGGTATCTTTAAAATATTGCTTACACTGCCTCCTGCTTTAATTCCACTTAATACTTTTCTTCTACCTTTTCCATCACTTGCTAAGACTGCATAACCATCTTTAATAGATGCTCTAAATGGTGGTAAATCATACTTAGAATGTAAATCATCATCCAATATTTTACCATGACATTTTTCTAGATCCTCATCTGATTTAATACTTAATGGTTCTACATGTTTACATATCAATTCTAAAGCTTCTTTAACAGAAATCATTGGGTATGGAGATTCTCTATTTCGTTCAACTACATTAGATAAGCATGACTATAAAAAAAAAAAACTACATATATTTCCTTTCATTTATACTTTCATTCTTTTTTCTCTTTCCTCATGGAAAGTTATTTATTTAATAAACAGAAAAAGGCCCTACCAATATTTTATCTTGTCTCCCTGGTAAAGAAATCTCCGCACCAATATTATTTTGCATATTTCCATGTGTATTCTTTATTCTTTCTTTATTATCTCTAATCAAGTCAACAGCATGTGGAATAGCAGGTGCAATTACACTCAAACACTCCTTTGCAGCTTTTGGTGATCCCGGTAAATTTATAATTAATGTTTTATCTCGAATTCCACATACAGCTCTTAATAACATAGATTTAAATAGTTTTAATAAGAGAGTAAAACATGTAAATAAATAAATACTAAATAAAGATAGATTATATTTTTAATTTTATTATTTGTTATATTAAAAGATAATTTAACCAAAAATTAAATGAGTTAAATGTTCTTTTAAGTTATATAACAAGGGCAAAATAGACTGACATTTAAAATTTCACTTTTATATTATTAATATTATTGCATCATAAAAATGACTATAAATAATAATAATAAAAAAAAGTATAAATAATAATATTTTTGATCAAATTAAAAAATATATGTGTTTTGCAATTACTATACAAAATGAAAATTTTATTTCGAATAATAAATTTTATTCGAAATAATAAGTTCTTTATATTCTTTTCTAGACTGTTATTTCATATACTATATGAACATAGAACAAATTTGGATAATAATGATGATTTTTAAGAATTTAATTTTTAAAACAAACCTAGATAACATAGCCATTGAAGTAATTTTTAAACAAAACATTTGCATAGCTGTAACTAATCCAGGAGCTTCTTTATGAATAATTTGTTTTGTTGCTTCAGGGGTTACATCTCTTTTACAAAATCCTGTACCACCAATTGTTAAAATAACATCTACTTGTCTGCTATCACTCCAAGAAATTAAATTTTCCTATGTTTAATAAATAAATATGATATTCTACTAATCATGATAATGTAAAAAAAAGTATATATATTTATTTACCTATAAAATTCTATATTAAATAATTACCTTTATTAGATATTCTTCATCGGGAACAATACTTTTATGATATATTTGACCTTTCAAAATCTTTCCAATCTCAGACTTTTCATCTTTAATATATTGTTCTATTTCATATCCACTTTTATCTTCATTTTTATGTTTATAGCAGCTATCACTAACTAATAATGAAAGTTTTTAATTTTTACTATTTGCTAATTTTTTAATTTCATTATTGTACATAAAACATAATTATAAACATTACAAATTAAAGATATTGTTATTTCATGTTAATGTAGAAGTGAATAAATTATTTCATGATCTAACAGCAATAAATAAAAATTTCAAAATCTAATAGCAATAAATAAAAATGAATAAAGAAATGTGTAATATAGCAAGTTATTAAAATAATAATAAATTCTCAAATTAATTATATTTACCTGTTAATAACGCAAATCTTATTGGATCCATATTTTTATGTAATTATTTTCACGTAAATACTCAAATATTTGTTTCTTCGATAATCTGAAATTATGATAACATGAAACTGATAAAATTGGTATATAATATGATGATTATAATTTTAACAGATATATTAATATAGTAAATATATAGTATACAAATATAAAAACGTTAGATGTAAATAAAATAATGTTAATATATATATTTATGTTTAAATACAAATATATATTTATGTTTAATATGTTTAAATATCTTCTTTTCAAGAGATCACAAGTTATACTTATCAGTGTTGCCACTCTTACATATTGTTTCATGTAACGTAACGCATACTCTGTTGCATGATGCACATTTGCGCTAATCATAATCATATATTAAGCATTGATAGTTATGAACAAAAATAAAAATTATTATTTAATAGAATAAATAATAAAATATAAACACATTAAAGAAACGTACATTAAGATTATATTTATTTAAAAGGCTATGAATTAAATATATACTTATATAAATATTATGTTTGTAAAAATTAATATGTAATAATATGGATGTAAATAATATGTAAATATAGAAAGATTTAAATTATTATTTATTAAATTATTAAAATGTATAAATAAACAAATATAATAGTTCATTGCCGTATCAATATATATGTTATTAATATGTTATAAATTTATTACTGTCAAAATAGTGACTGCGCATGCGCTGAAATAAACCCTTTTTCGTATTATAAATATTATGGTTACCCTGTACTATATCATATGCTATAGTGTATACAGTATTTGTACAGATGAGTGTATCTAAGTATTAGGTGTAAAGTGCTTTACAGTTTATAGTTTAGTTTAGCCAACAAGTTGGTAACTTGGTTATTTGGTGCAGTTGTGAATATAAGAGAGGGAGTTAAAAGCAGAGTGAATAGTGTATTACGTACGAAGTCGTAGTGGCGGCAGTACAACGAGAGGTGTGTTAGGCTTGGGATATTTGAAGAGTTACGATTGTGCATCAGGTTGTGAAATTATTTTTACGATAAAATTTATTTTCATATGCGTCGCAAGAATCCCTATTAATCGTGGTAACGTTTTGCTAATTATTTATTACTTACTTATGAATATAATTAACGCAAAAGAAAATGATACTTTATTAATAGCAACTAAGTAAATTATTTTGGCCTACTTACACGTAAAAAATCCAAGATGGGAGGCACGACCACACACACCCTTCAGTTCGACCAATCAGAATGCAAGTTTCAGTTCTTAAGGCTAATAACCTTTGACTTCCATTTTATTTATACGAAGGAAGTATAGTATGAATATACTTTTATTTAACAAAAAGAAACACAGTTGTCTTGCATTGTAAAAATTTATATAATTCAAAGAATATATTTTAAATATTGACTTCAGATTTATGATGTATCAATTTAATGCGTTATAATCTATTAATACATTGATATAATACGTTAAATAACTGTTTGGTTTAATTTAATTACACTGTACTACACTGTATACAAACAGTTAGTTTTAAGTTTCACATCCTTCAATAAGATTAGAAATACTTTTGAAAGGTCACTTGCATTTGTTTTCTATATACCATATGGGATGTTAAGAAATAATTTATCTTCGTATTTATCATAAAGCCATTGTTCTCTCATCTTATATTTTTTATATACCCATTTTATAAATTCAGTATTATTATTTCAAAGTACCAAAACATATTTTTATAAATTATAAAAGCATTCTTATAAATATATTCAATTTTTAATATTTCAAGCTTTAATTTCTATCTTTTGCATTTTAATTTAACAAAAATTTTGTATATTTAGATTATAAAGAATAATACATGCTTGATTTATTTATCATAACAAATTTAAATATTATTATGAACTTCAAAATCATATAAATATAAACAATATTCTTATAATGAATAAGAATATATTTATTAAAAATTAAAAATGTTATTTCTTTATTAATAATTTTATTACAAATTTAAATTTGTTTACTTCTTTCTATTTTCAATCATTATACAGCTTTTTTTTATTGTAATTACATATTTTATAAACGAAACTTTATTTTTAGCTTTATCTTTTTTTTATTACAATTGCTCGTAAAACTGTTTGCATTACACGTGACATTTATACAAAATAATTACTACTAATAAACAATTTTGGTAAAATTAAAAAAACAAAATATAATAAAATTATACATAATCATACCCTTTTAAGTAAATATCTATTCTACTTAAATTTGTACTTCAGAATTTTCATTAATTTACATATATTTATGGTAGCATATGGTATATTAAAAAAACATCAATATCTTAATGTTTTACATATAGTCTCAACATAAGTTATTTAACAAATTTTTTTATTACATGCACACTTTAAAAATTCGTATATATGGTACATAATAACATATCAATTGTTAATATTTACTATTACTTAAATTTTATTGATTACTTAATCTCATATATGAAAATAAATTAATTAAATAAAAATCTTTACCTCGGAAATAATAATTCTTATTAAATTAATTATTAATCAGTAATATTTTACATTAAAATTGAAACGATTTTCAAATATGATAAAATTCAAATTTAATGGAATACTTTCTTAATGTTCATAATTTTTTTTCTTTTGACTTTTTATTAAAATTTGCATCTTTTTGATGTAATACTTCAATATAAAATAAGCAGAAATAGTGCATAGTATTGCGAATATAATTTACTGTTAGAAATAAAACTATCTTTACAAGTATATTTATATTTATATTTATCTCCTTATTTTTTAGTTAGAAGAACATATACAAAATTAATAAATTTTTTTATTATTTACATTGAAGTATCATAATGACATTAATATATTTGAATATACAACTAATAATCTAGCTAAGAGAAATTATTCATTTGTTCTGACTTTCATGTGACCTACAGTTCTTTTAATTCATTTAAAAATAAGATGTTGAAAGAAGTAGTTTGCAATATCAAGTTTGCAATATCTTTAATCTTCGGACAATGTCGATTTTATTACGAGTGCTTCGTAAATGAATATAATATACATACATGTCTATTTTTGAACACATTTCTTACAATCACAGGTAATTACTGTACAATAATAAATCATGTGTGTCATAAATATTAATTGAAGATTTTCGTTAATTATCTCAAAATATCGAAACGAAAACTGAAGTATATTATTTAATATAATATTTAAAAATGTGAGATGTAAAAAGAAAGAAAGAAAGAATATATAATAAAAATATAGAACCGAGTGCTTTATATTATTGACATAATTATTAACTCCGTAATCTTTGTTTCTTCTATTAGAATATTAAAATAAAGTAAAAATTTTAATTTAAGAAAGTCATATAAAAACAATAGTCTTATGAACAATAATTTTATAAAAAGATATTTATTAATTAAATTCAATGATCAAATTTTTATATATCGAGTAATAATAATATTTTCCTTGTGTATATTTTTAACTTTTACATAAGTTTCAAATTATTTTAAAATATAAAAGAATTATATTCAATTAAACATTTTTTTTTGAAAATGAAAAATGCACTCCTTTTCAATTTGATACATTATTGTTTCTTTATGATTAACATATTTAAATTTTGTAGGTATATTACTTTCCTTTACACTTGCATATATTTACATGCTAATTATTCATTAATTCTGAATACGTTTTTATGTAAATTGGTTTTCTTTGTATGCGTCATGTTTTCAACATTCCATTTTCAATATTTTGTTAATATAAAGTTATGCATATGTGTCAAACTAAAAGTTTTAATTAATGACGAATTTGTAAACGAAAAAATTATTTTTGAGGTCTAAAACGAAAACAAAGTGTAACAGTTGTATCGCGCATCAGTTATTTTTTATCTTCTAATTACGAAATGGTATTGTGAAACTAACAATTTAACTGATAGATAATACATCAATTTTACCATTTACATAACTTAATTTTCCTATTGTTTGTATTACTCACAAAGTTAAGAAAGTGATGTTTCGATATAAAATTACTTACAGATCATAAACAGTAAAATTATTTTTTTCATTTGCCATAATGATAATATTCAGATGATTTTAGACGTAAATTGTGTAAAACAACAAATTTTTTACTTCAGAATACGTTATATGTATCTATCGAGATATTCTATCCGATATCTGCTAGGCCGTGCGATATTTGTGAACTCTTTTTTCTACGCGCTGAAGTTGCAACAACACGATGTTTGTGGAAACGAGTCTTGTTCAAGGACAATATTTTCAACACGAATAGTAAAAAATGACATGAAATACCTATGTACATATAATAGGTTTGAATTATTGAATATTAAACAAGTGCAACTATTATCTTTTAACTTAGAAATGTAGAGAATAGTGTCATGGTTATATTGCTTAATGTGTTACACATGTCTACGACTATAAAAAAAAACTAACTTGAATTTCAATCGGCGTTGACCTAAAAATTTTGCAAGCTATAAGGAATTGAATAATTGCAATTACGTACAGTATATTATCTTTTGAATAATGATATAGAATTTTGAATAATTTATATATTTTTCATACCGCTTCATTTATTTACGATAAATTAATATTCTTTTCTTTCGTGCAAAAGAGGATTACCTTGTCGAGCATAACAAAATTTCGGTTTGGTATTTGGGTCATTGAACTAATTGAGGTGAGAAAAACATGCAATTCTTTCTAAATTAAACTTCTTTATACTCGTATCTTATCGTTTAGAGTTTCAAATTTTAATGTATTATCTATAAGTATATTATAAGATATTTTATATAGCATCCTTATAGTTTCATTAAACGAACTTTTGATTACTATCAAACAAATCGATGTTACTGTACATTTCAATGGTATTTGAGATAATATATGAAGCAGCAAATTATTAATTTTCTCGACTATAATTTGTAATTAATTGTATCGATATAGATTACCTCAAGTAGTGCTTATCCTCTTTTTTTTTTTTATCAAATATCTCTTATTATTATTTTTTATTGAATACTAATTATACAAATATTTATACGATAATATAAAGAATTTTCACTTTATTAAATGATAGTACAGATTTTTCTAAATTATACTAATAATAAAAATTTACATGTAAAAATAATTATAAACAAATTGTTTATATTTTTATAAATTATTTCGTTACTTACTGTTTGAAGTGCAATTTTCAAGCTATTTAGGCTTTCCAAAAATTGGATAATTTTATTACAAATGTTTACAAATAATGCAGATATATTACACTTAAGGAAGAGGATGAAAAAGAAGAATAATTATTAATTATATTTTCTTTAGTTATTAGCTATTAGTATTTATGAATTGATATCAAATTATCAACTATGAGTGATATCATTCATTAAAACAAATTATAGATTTATATATACATATTACGCATAAATCGTTTTAAGCGTATTTAGAAGTGATATTTGAAGTATAAAATGATACATGAATTATCGTCAGTAATCAATATATAATTTATTGATCAATATATAATGTTATTTCGAATAACATTATGCAAAATAACTATCGCTAATAATTAATATTACGCTTTATAAACTTTAAGCGAATCGTTAAGTACACAAATTATAAATTGTTAGTGTCTGTTACTACAAACTTTTAATTTTATAAAATACTAGTACTAATGGCGTTATTTTTAGCATATAATGTTACTGCTATTACTGTTCATGTTTGTTTTTTTTAAAACTTCCTAGAACCATTACAATTGAATATTGTACGTAGTAGTGGTAATAGTTAAATCTGTCAATTGTTATATGATATTTTCATAAATGTTTATACTACATTTGCAGTATGTGATTGTGGATACATTGCACACACGCACGCACGTACGCATGCACGCACCAACACGCACGCGCGCGCACACAAAATTAGACACATTTACGAATATATGTATATACCATAATACATAATCATTTAAATGCTACAATATTTTGGGTCTATACGAATATAGGTGTCATAATAATAATTCATTTGTCATAATCAAAATATTCTGAGTTTACTATATATTCTTGAGAATAATAACTTTTATTGTTATTATTGTAATTATTGTAAAATCAATGTAATTGTTAATATCAACTATTAATTTGACATACTAATACAGGTATAAAAATGTATGTAAATATAATGGTAGAATTCAAGTTTACAATGTAAAGAACCTGTTACATATTTAAAGCTGCTATGTAATTTAAATATTTTTATATGCACATTTTTTGCTTTATCATTGTTTATTATGTTCATATTGTGGTTTTATTTGGTCATTCGTCTCGGTCACAATATTGCCACAATGGAATATTCCCAAAGTTACATACACATGCTCACATATTTTACATTTCATTAATATAACTCAACATTTCTTTTTTTTATAAGTTGGAAATGGTTTGATCAGAATAATTATAAATTTAATGAGTATTACAAGTGAAATTTGAAATAAAAACAGGACAAATCTAAAAGCAGTTCCTTAATCAGTAACAATTTATAGTTAAATACAAAACTTAATAACGTAGAAAGTATATACATAAATACATAAAGCTAAATTTCATTGTCATTATAGACTATAGTATGGTACATAATTTGGTAATTATTTAGGAAAGGAGAGATTTCACCGGTTTCGATGATTTTTAAATATATTGTAGAAATCAACATTTTGAACAACTTTTACCTATCTTTGCCTGAATTTCCGAGATTTTAGCAAGAAACTATTGCTACTATTGCAACGAATATTGCCTATAGCTACATGTCTGTGATAGCGCGTGAGTAAACGTTGAGTCGCTGATTGTTTATGATTTCTGTAAACACATTGAAGCAGCCAGCAATGGACGCGTATAACGGGTGTTCAAAAAAAAAAGTCGATTTAAGTAACCAGCAGTCTCGTAGTGGCAAGAATAAAAAACCCTAACCCAGACCGTACTTAACCTAACTATCCTACCTAGTAACTAATTTAATGGATGAGGTTCGAGTTATATTCTTTTGTTCCGAACACCGCGAGGCTGACGGCCACGCATTCATCTTTTGTTTCAATTTTCTTGACACGTTACACACGTTATTCGTCGTTGATCGTCATGCCGTTATTTGGAGAAACAAGAGATAAGGGGTGATCATGGACTGACGCATACAGAGTCGCCGACACGTACGTATAGACAGAATTCAATGTAGTAGCAACGGTTTTTTGGGGGGAAAATTTCAGAAACTAAATGATTGCCCAGAATTTAATCTTATTTAAACTAACTTTGTTTACTTACTGCAAAAAAATAGAAAACATGTTATGATCAAAAGAACATTAATAAAATATATTTAGATTTTAATGTCATATTATAAATTTTTTGTGTAAAAAATTAGAAATATTATGTAAATTATGTTACTCAAATTATATGCATCTTAATTAATTTCATGCATCTAGTAGGAGACAATAGTAAAAAATTGTTCATATATCATTTATATTAATATAAAAATATTCTTTGCCAAATAAAATCAAAATTTGTCGCTAAAATCACATAAAACTGGATTATTAAGAGATAATACAGTTATTTCACAATCCATAGAAGAAAATTGATCTCAGTAGTAGTACTTTGCAAGAAACATATAGTAAAATTTATATTACAAATAACAATAATTTTAAATCCCAGTTTTATTAATTTTAATAACGTTAGAAATTGATTACGTAATAAATATTACTGCTCTTCGAAATATGCACATATGTACTATACTATTGTAAATGGTAAGAACGATATTGTAGCACAGGAGGAAATAAGCTAGTTGACCTTACTTAAGAAGCCACAAGTGCGGTATATATGCATCGATACGTAAATGTTCTTCATATTTATGTAATATATTGTAAATGAAAATTGCAATCGGTAACAAAATACAAATATCTTAATTTTTTCTGATTTGTATAGAAAGCCATTTTAATATAATTATGAAATAACAAGATTTTCGTGCAGTGAATAAATTATAATTAAACGGTTTAATCTAAACTTACAATTAAATCATTAATAAATTATAGTTATTTATAAGGATAACTTTGAAAATAATAATAATATTTTCGAAACAAAATTTTCTCCAATTTCACAATTAGAGAATTAATTCACTAGGACTATGATAAATAATTTATACCACTTTCTGCATTATAAGAGTGATTTATATAAATGAAAATGATTTGATACTTATCTTGATTGTGCAAGTTTTAAAATTTATAAGTTTGCTATATTTTTTAATACGTATTATTCGTTTTTTGTACTTAATGAAATGATAAGTAACTTAAAAATTTTATATAGGAACTTAATTAACAAATTATTTTTAAAATCTATTTCAAAAACTTTAAAAAACTTTGTCGAATGTATTTTTTTCGACATTTATTCGAAGTTTTAAATGATATTCGAACAGTCGTGAATTTTATCGAATTTAATAATAAAAAATAGGTAGAAGATAAAGTATGGTCGTCAAATTTAATTTTTTTAATGTTCAAACTGTTAATCATCGACATGTGAAGATTTATATTAAGAAAATTATTTCTAATACAGAATTACATTTCCTATTTCTCGTAATTAGTCCTTTAAAATATTGCTTTTTTCGTATATTCCAATAAAAAAAATTCAACTTATTTTCAAATATTTTAACGATATCTCTCTTTTGATTATAATACAAATAGAATAACAATTATTGAAACTGATATATAAAAGTAACAAAAAATAATAATTTTCCAATTTTGAAAAAGAAATTTAGGAAAAAAGGAATATTGCTTTAGCTATAATTATCGAGAATCATCTATAATCCAATGCAAATTATTTTAATTAAATACAGTTTTTATCCATATTTTTCTATGTAAAATAACGATTTCATATATATGAACTAAATTATACATTTCTGTTGTACGCAGATTATATATATATACACACACACATACGTGTATACTCTATTTCATAGATATATCATATACATTTATATATTTGTATTTATACATTTGTTTATAAATACAAAAGAAATAAAATAAATCTTGAGTATATCTATTTTCGGATATGTTATTATGGATTTGAATCTTTGCACGAGAAACCGCTTCATTTTTAAAGTATGTTTCCATTTGAATTATTTTCATTGTCCCCGTTTAAATTATATATTATTGGTATAATATATGTAAGTTCTGCAGAATGTTAGGCTATTTTCATATTACATTAAATTATATCAAATTTTTAAATATTCTTAATACTAAAATTACTTACATATTTTCTCAATTGTATATTTACAAACAAATATGATTCATACTATATTAATTATGAAATGTTTTCATGATGATTTATGAATGAATAATTTGTCTTATGACAAGTTATGAGAAATATCAGTACAGTGATAAGATTATGCATATTTATTCAATTGGACTCAAAACAAACTAAAAAAAAACAAACTGAAAAAAGCAAACTTTATCTCATTAAATAGCACTCATATCAAAACTTTCTTTTTTGCATATTATTCCTCAGTGTCATTTATGTACGAATATACGCACATGCATTCTACGTATACGCATACTACGTATCCATTGACGCAACTCAATGATAAATGTAGTGTAAATATTATTTGATACTCTTCCCGAAGAATGTATGTATCATCCTAGTGATGTCGCAACAATTTTCTTCAATCCATTAATATATATACTCGTATCTTTATGCAAGATAAAAAGGAATTAAAAGTTAACTTCTTAATGTTTTTATTAAGAAATGTACTACAATTAATAAATAATATACAAAATGACATTTAAGAAATATTGTTATTTAAAAATTTCTAGTCATGTCGGAAACATGAAAATGTCTATATTACACGAATTTACTAAAAGTTTAGAAGACCTTATTATGTGGTACAATCAAAACTTATTATAGAATTCGTAATAGATACTATATTATATCATGTGCATAATATGCGGATGGACTCAGAATGTGTAGCCAGATCGAGTAATTGTTTGCTAAAATTATGGCCACTTTTCCAACCAGACGAACATCGTTCAAAGTCCAAGGTTATATAACTGAAGCGTAAAGTCAATCGTTACCATTTGAAAGTACATATACGTGCATGTTACTTTCAATTGTCTTTCAATTTTTATTGTAAGATGGGAAATATTATTATATACAATTAAAAATAACAATTAACAACGGTATAATTATCTTTATATGACATATATATTACGTTTAGTTTTATCAAAATTCTTTTAATAGCTTTCCCAAAGTTTTTAGTCTTTCTTTGTTATTTGTCATTGGAATCTGAAATAACTTAGAAACTTATAAAGCAATCATATGATATAGTTGTGTGCATATGTCTGATATTTTTAAAAAAAGTATGCAATTGAACTTAAATAAGAAATTTCTAAATATTTTTTAGAAGCTATAAATTCATAAAATTTTAAATACATATGGGAAAAATAGGTGTATTAAACAGAAAATATTAAAAAATTGTATCATTTTTTTCCACAAAACTACATTTACAACACAAGTTATAAGTCATATAAATAATATACTTCAAAAGAAAATGCAATTTTAATTATGGAAAGTTAATCATATTTAATAGTATCCAATTTAAATATATAATATTGATACATAATAATATTTTTGTTGAAAGAAGTACAGGAAAAACATGCAATCTGTAAAAAGGTGTATGAACATGAGAAGATTAAGTAAATATTAAACTAACATTAGAAAGATATTTAGTTTTTTAAATATTGTTATTTTTGTTGTTGTTGTTGTTGTTGTTATTACCATTATTATTATATGTAACTATTTTTTAATTTAAATGTATAATAATAAATTGTTATTGATCTATATTTATATTTGTTTGTTTCAATGTTATTTATTTTCTTATTTAATATTATTAATTTTTTTCATTTATTTCAGTTTTATAGTTTATAACAGATGATATGGCGGAAGCACATTCAGCTGTAGCATTTAGTTTTTCCATTACTCATGAAGGCTGGGATGTTAATTTTGATAGAGAAGTTTTACATTTAGTATGGCAATCAGGTATACGTTCTTGGAAAAAAAGATTTTTCAGATTTGTTGTAAGTAAATAAATATTAGTTTATAATGCAATTTGTAAATAAATATCTAATAAGATAATTAAATTAATTTTAGAATAATTTAAGAAGTGGGGTATATCCTGCCTCCTTGGAAAGTTTATGGCTTACTCTAACTGTAGTGACTGCGATACATTTTGCTGGCTACAAGGTACCTTATGACCTTGTTGGTAAAGCTGCACCATATCTTTCAGGGTAAATTTAATTATCTCTCTCTTTTAATATAATTTTTGTATAAATGTTGACAAAATAATAAAAGTATAAATTGTTAATGTTTTAATATCCTGTTTTTTTTATTATTATAATAGATCTTCAGTATTGGCACACTTAGCAGGATCTTTTATAGTTGGGCTGCTTTTGTGGTTGGTAGTAATATATGTAATTCGATACACCTTTAAATTATTGCTTATGTACAAAGGATGGATATATGAATCAAGAGAAAAAGGATCCAGTGCTACACGGGTTACCAAAGTGTGGACTACATTAGTGAAATTATTCTTTGGGTGGCATAAACCAATGCTCTATAGTTTTCAAGGATCGTTGCCACGGTTACCATTACCTTCAGTGGAAGATACAATGAAACGGGTTAGATTATATTTTATAAAAACTAATTTAAATAATTAAACTAAAATAATATTTTATAATCTTACATAAATTGTACTCACATTTCATCAGACAGAAGTCGATCTCTGATCTGTTTCCTTTTCTTTTTTATAATATGTTTGTATATTTATCAAAAAGCCTTATTTATTTATCGAATTTTATTTAATTAATTGGAAACATTCATTTAAATAGTACCTACGAAGTGTCCGTCCACTACTTGATGATGAAAATTATGCTCGAATGGAAACATTGGCTAATGAATTCCAAAAGGGAATTGGCGTGAAACTTCAGCGTTATTTAATTTTGAAATCATGGTGGGCTACAAATTACGTTTCTGATTGGTGGGAAGATTATGTTTATTTACGTGGAAGATCCCCTATCATGGTGAATTCAAACTTTTATGGTATTGACGCCATTCTTATGTACCCTACTAATGTACAAGTTGCCCGTGCTGCAAGTGTTATTTATTCATGTCTACAGTACAGACGACTCATTGAACGGCAAGAATTAGAACCGGTTAGTAAATAAGCTTTTTATAAATAAAATATTTCATTTTTTCTCTGATTTATTAAATTTAAATTTTTATCAATTATATATTAAACTATTCTCTTTTTTTTTTTTAACTATGAAGTACATGGAAAAATAATTTAATTTATATTTATTATCATCTAATTTGCAAATTTTATTCATATATTGTCATATGCATTAATTCTGTGTGTCTTAATTTCAAATTATTGAAATATATTCAGTGATTCATTGAAATAAATTATTTTAAATTCAATTTGATAATAATTATATATGAAAAAGAATATATTTGTATATTTTAAAACAGTACCAATTCTTAGATAAAAGTCATTTTTCATTTTAGATATTGATTCAAGGATTAGTACCACTTTGTTCATGGCAATATGAAAGATTATTTAATACTACAAGGATACCAGGACGTGAAACAGATAAAATCACACATTATCAGGATTCTAAACATATTGTAGTATATCATAAAGGAAGATATTTCAAAGTTCTCATTTATCATAAAAACAGAATTCTTCAACCATGTGAAATTGAAATGTAAGTACAGATATGATTTTATACTTTATATCTTTGATTTTTGATTGTAGCATGTATAAAAGCATTATACTTCCACTATAAGAATCGAAATTTAAGATCATTTTCCTAAAAATAAGATTTTTATTTATATAACTTATATAATTAATATGTGGTTATTATCAAAACATTAAACTTTTGAAGTCCTACATTTAATTTTCTCTTTTTTTCTTTTGTTGAGAAAGTTGGAGGTTACATACTATATACTGCAGTAAAGACTTTACAAATAATCTCTAAATTAGTGTACCTAACAATATGTTCTTTTAGCAACTATTGTTTGTTGTGTTTTTTTACATTATTAATTAAGGTCTACTATTAATTCTAAAGGGGGAATGTAATGTAATTACATTTCATTAAAACATTAATGTAATGTAATGTTTAATTAGATCATGGTATTAATTGGATTATCATTTTAATTTAAATATTAATTACTTGTTAATTTTGCATCAAAAAAAAAAAAGAAACTATGCAGAAATTCTAAATTTTTTATAGAATTCAGAATTTTAATCTAATTTCTTATTATTAAATTTCTTAGAATTTCTTAGAGTAAGAAAAGAATTACATCTATAAAATATTATATTGAAAACAAAAATTGACGTAAGTATCTAAGATACATTAAAGTTTATCAAATTCAATAATTTTGTGTTAATAATATGCCCAAACTTGTACAATATATACAAACTTGTAATATATTTATATCACATTTTGCATTTAAATTACTTCATAATTAAGTTGATAAATTTTTGTATAAGTATTTTTACAAATTATATTTCTTTTCTGATTAATACTAAATTATTATTTTAAAAAAGAATAATATAGAAGAAGATTAAATGCTTTAAAGAGATATGTATTCTTTTTCTACAAGTATACAAGTATAAAAACATATGTTTTCTCTTATATAAATCGGTTCTTTTCAATATTTTGCATAAAAAAAATATTAATGTATTGAGTAGTTACAAATTCATGAATCAAAAGATATTTTATGTGAATATGTATAAAGATATTTTTTATTTAAAGAGGTGCTTAAACATTCCTAAATACTTTTAAATAACTATTGTAATATTTGATATCATTATTCACAAATTAAATTGTATTTTCATAAATTAAATTTTAATTTGCATTCGGATATCTTTCTTGATTATTGATATTTTGAATATTTTTCATGGTACTTTGATATTAACATGATATTGATATGTTTCTATTAACAAATAAGTGCACTTGTATATTATAAATACATCTTTACTCTTGTAGAAAATTATATCTCTTTATACATTTCAACTTTTTCTTTTATTATATTTTTTTCATACATTCTACATATTTATGAACATTATCTTAGATTTTTCTGTACAAATTTCAATAATATGTTTTATAAGAAAAAATGTTATGGACTTAAAAATTCATAAATACCTTACTAAAAAATTATGATAGAAATATATATGGAGAATAATGCTATTTCTTTTAATTGGATACATATATAATAGTTATAAAAATATATACACAAAATGAATTTATAGAATCAATATTCCAATGTGAAAAGATTAGAAAAAATTATAATGAATTCAGTTTGCAATAAACGTCAGTAGAATATGTCGTTATCATATTACATCAATATATATAGGTATCTCTTTAAAATGTAAATATAGAGATATAGGTAATGTTTTCCTTATATTTTATATTTTTGTTGTAACTCTTTAATCGAGTATTTATAAACTTTTTATTACATAGCATTTTTGTTTTGTTTTTACCTGTAAAACATACGTGTGAAATTTGTACAGAAAACTCCAGGACATTCTGTATATATCTATAGATATATATATTTTTCCAATTTATATTTCAAAAAATTTATGGGTTGACAGTGGTAAACGCTATTGACATTAAATTGTTTAACTTTAATATTATATAATATTACATTTAATAAACAATATATTAATTAAAAATTGTTTAATAATTGAATTTTATGAAATATAAACACATAAAATTTAATTTAAAATTTGTAAAATGAAATGTCTTAACTGTGAATATTTAATCAATATCAACATTTTATTTAAAAAAAATTAAAGCAACTTTAAAACTTTAATTATAAAATTTACAAATAACTCCTTTTAGATATTTAATGTATTTTAATCAATAATTCATCTTGTATTTATGTTTCTGAAATGTAAAAAGATTTCCTGTTATATAAAGTGTTCTGTGGTTCTAAGATCTAAACTGTTCTTTTTATTCTTAATAACATGTACATAAAATGTGAAGAAAAATGTTGAAAGGTATTGTTCATTATGTATATTTTTTTTTTATATATATATACACATAAATGTTTGTGTTTACTAAAAAGATGGAAATATTTCACAAGGATACATGATTTTAAGGGCCGATGGTTAATAGTTTAAGAAATACGATAGAATCGCGTCAATCGGAGGCAACTCGGAGCTGGCAGCGTGAAACAAGACTTTGGCAAGTTTCTCTTCCAAAAAATGTTCGTGAATCACCAAAATGACACCGATGGAAAGTAAAGAACAAATCTGCTGACTATCTCCGAACTATGAGTAATCATTTCGTTGTATGATCACTGAAATTTTTATATCTCTTATATTTATTTTATTCAAATCGATTTAAAAAAAATGGTTGGGCCAATTTTTATTAAATTTATGTGACTATCTTGGATAATAATTAATCCGAATTTACCTTTTTAATAATTTACTTTAATAACTATATACTTTTAACAGAATAAATAACTGACAAAACCATACTTTATAAAGTCATATGCTTAGAAGATGCACATTATTTATTTATATTTTGAAACTCATTGGGTCTTTGCCACTGCATAATATTTTTTAACCCCATTTTGATGTATTTTCAATAAATATTAAATATATAAATTTAAATGACTTATTCAAATGCTAATTACATTAATTGACATAATAATTTAAAGTTAATACATAAAGTTTTGAATAACTTTAGACAGAAATAATGTAACTTATGTATTAGAACATCCTCAATTTTATAAAAAAAAGTAAAATAATGAACAAATATTCTTTTAATTCTTCACCAAAAACAATGCATGTTAATATATTATACTGTTAAAGATAAAAATACACTTGAAAATTTAATACATGAAATGTTTGATAAACTGTTAATCGCCGGCCTCTAAACCAATATTTTCTATTATTTTAATGATTTTTTAATCTAGTAACATTCTGTTTTTTGTTTATTAAATTATACAGGATATTTTTTAAGTATGGACTAATCAAGTAAGAAGTGGTAAAGAATGATAAATAGAACATTTTTTGTAATAAAAATGTTTTAATAACAAAATTTTAGAAATTTAGGGGATAGTTGTCAATGAACAAACTGTTTTATATCAAGAACAGCACAATAACAATCAGTATGTAATGGATACTAGTCTATGGACAGTTAAATACATTATTTTTTAAATTTTGTTCTTAAAACATGAACTAGAATCAATTTTATATTTATATAACAGAATTGTTACTTTTATTTTACATCACTTCTACTTGATTGACTTATAACTTTAAAATATTTTGTATGTCTTATATGTGTAAATATTTACTTAATAATTATAAAATATATATATAAATGAAACATTTGAAGATTATAGTATTTTTGAAGCTTTCATTTAAGTAATATGCAAAAATAATAGAAATGATGTTCAAAGTAATATAAAGTTATTATTTTATTCTTTTTATCATAAATAAATTTATTTGTATATTTAACAAAAGATGTTTGTAAAAACGTAATAAATTTTATTTCAGACAAATGCAACAAATTTTAGATGATAAATCAGAACCATTAGAAGGTGAAGAGAAATTGGCTGCATTAACAGCTGGTGAAAGAACTGCATGGGCAATAGCTAGAGAAGAATTTTTCTCAAAGGGGATAAATAAAGCATCCCTAGATCTCATTGAAAAAGCTGCATTTGTAGTTGCATTAGATGATGTACCATATGTATATGATGCAGTAAGTAATATAAAAATTGTTTTATTTGTAAATTTATATTACATTCATTATTTTTCCTCATTATTAGGAAGACCCAGACAAATTAGATCAGTATGGTCGAATTTTATTGCATGGTAAAGGATATGATAGATGGTTCGATAAATCTTTTACCTTGTGTATAGGCAACAATGGTAGAGTAAGTAATATTATATGAAAACATTATGTTAAAATAATATGGTACAGTTTATAATATAATTATTAAATATTGCTATATTTTACAGACTGGCTTTAATGCGGAACATTCATGGTGAGTTTTTATATAAATATATACAAAAAAAAAAGTGAGATTAAATTATATAAAAGAAAAAAGTAATATATAAAAGGAGGATATGGTTGAAAGAAAAAGTGTTGTTTCACAATGAAATAATTACATATGCCACATAATATACCATGTATTTAATGAATATAATTTCTTAATTACTTTGCATAACATAAACTAAACATTTTTTAGTAATATAAACTAAACTTTTATGATAAATGTGTGATACCTCTCTATTATCTTTTTGTTTTATAGTTCTTTATGCAAATAATGTATGTTTAAAATGAAAGATATTTCATTATTATTATCGTAGATAAAAAAATTAACAAAAATAATATACAATTTCATTCTTTTTTACCCTCACATGAGAAATTAAATTATCATTCAAAGACCATATAAAACAACAATACAGAATTATTGTACTTACTTTAGTGATAAAGTTATAATCGTATTTTGTTTATTATTAAAAAAAGCTGCATATATATTTCCTGGATAATATTTTGTGGTATGCAAGTGTGAAGCTTTATGTATGTCATGAATGACTTGGTCATAATCACCCAAGGGTTAAATGGAATTGTATATTAATATCTAACTTTAAGTATTAGAAAATTGTAATATGTTGAAATTGATACATAATGAGAAGTGATGAGCAGGGCAGATGCTGCAGTGATGTCACATTTGTGGGAGTACGTGATATCTCAGGAAAACAGCAATAGAGAGTAAGAATCTAAATTCATGGCTTTCGCGATGTTGTTTACTTCACTATTCTTCTGCTTCTCCTGCCTACTCTGCCTTCTCTTCAAAAGCTAATTACGACATAATAACTATTGTTTAAAGGTGATTAAGAGATTCAAAAGATTTATTCAACTTTTATATTAGTTATTTTTTAGATACCTGTGTATTCGTTTTCACAAATTTCTTCTCACTAAAATATTTATGTCCTTCTAACATATTAGAAATACATAAAGTGTGTATAAAATCAATGAAACTTTTTTTTAATATTTATTTATTTAGTATGCATTTGTAATTTTCAATGTTCTTGTAGATAGAAGTATATACATACCTTTGGAGGTCTGTACTTATTTTATTATTTTTTAATTTGTTATATTTATGTCAATATTATTGATGATTTTATTAATTGGTAGAATTGTAATATTTCTTTTATGCATAATAATTCAAATAATTTCATTTATAATGCTTAATAGGGCTGATGCGCCTATTATGGGATCGCTATGGGAATATGTTATCGCTAATGAGGTGGAAATGGGGTAATTATTTTCTTATATTTCTCTGCTTCTAATTATACAAAGTTTACTTTTACAGTATTCCTTCATTTAAAATTAACTTGTATATAATGAATGTTACTTTTTCTTTTTTTTCAATTTTTAATTTATATACATGTATTAGATGCTAACTCTTGGTACAATATATATTAGAAGTATAATCAGTGAAAAAAGAAATAGCAAGTTCATACAATAAATAAGCTATCAAAATATATGTATTTAAAATAAATTAATTGATAAAATGTGATACTCGAAACCTCAGAATTATACAAAGTATATTTTATTACTTACTTATTACTATATTTATTTTATTGAAATAGTAAGCATATTTAATTAACATATTATATAAAATATAATTATAATAAATAAACAGATGCATCAATTAGCAATATTAACTAATGTTTTAATTTATGACCTTGCTACATTTCATTCACTTATACTTATTATGGAGTGGATTGTAATTCATTCAACAAGTGGAATGTGATAGGTTTTATGCTACAAAATAAAACTAAATATAAAATAATTCTTTTTTTGCTCAATGTTTCTGTTTTTAAAAAGTTATTTTTGGAAAAATAACTTCAAAATTTGACTACAATTTTTTTTAATTGTTATCACTGTAGGCTGCTACTATATTTATTTTTACAATTGATACAACATAAAAATTTATTTATTATTTGGAAGCTTGACATTCTATTATGTACAAAAAGAATAGCTAAAGTATTAGTGAAATATATATATAATAAAATACTTTAAAAATTATATTTTTTAAAAAACGAATATTTGAACAAAAGAAACTATTTTATTATTGTGATTTATTTTGAATTATAGGATCATACTTGTACTGTGAATTACTAATAAAATTTACATATGTGTATTTATAGGGTAAGTTACACAATTGGGACAACTTATATTTTATTTCACAGAAGCAGAAAACAATTGAATATTTGTAAATTATAAGAAACACAATTCATGAGATAAAATAAAAAAGAAATTCAGATATCTACCTAAATAAAGCACATGCTATAATAAAAAGATAGAAATATATATCATTTCTCTCTTTAGTATTGCATCTCCAAACAAAGAAATGTATAAAAAATTAAATTCTGAAGCATGTTAACTATCATATATTTCATATATACTATTAATGGTTACTCTTTTTCAATAAGTTATCCATCAATTTTACTCGTTTTTCAATTATGAATTTAATAAGCAGTAGAACATGTAACCATATTAATATGAAGGTACATTTGAGCTCTATTAAATAAAATGTTATCTGTATTTAATTTTTTTTATCTTTGTTTTCCTTTTGTTCAATCAAACTAGAATTATATTTTATCTCAGTTATATAATTTATCCTATATATTTATGAATTATAAAAAATAAAATAAATATAAATTCTTTCTATTGTATGGAACTAAAATAAATTAGTATATAATAATTATATTCTCTAATAATTATAGTATTTATAGTAGTTCTGCAGTAGTATAATAGAATTTAAGATTTACAAATGTTCAAGAAATTATTACTTTACATCTGTATAATTTAACTTTTTTTTTTTAAATATTGAAGTTTTGTTATGTAATCATATTATGTTTTTACTTTATATTCTAATCACTTATGCAAGCATTTTTTATTAATATATGTGCGTATATACATATATATATAATAAAATTTTATATTTTTTAATATATTATATACTTTGAAAGACTCATTAAAATGTATTGTAGATACAAAGAAGATGGATATAATAAGGGAACACCAGAATTCACACCACCTGCTCCAGTTCGGCTTCAGTGGGATTTAAATCCAAGTTGCATAGCTGCCATTGAAGAATCGAATCAAGTAACTGTCATAAAATTAAAAACTTTTTCTTATATATTTAAAGTTATTGTCTGCCTTTAAAAGTTATTTATAAATCACTTATTAAAATACTAATTTACAATTGATAAAATATGATACTAATAATAATATAAAAATTTATTTATAAGCTTATTAGAACTTTTAATAAAAAATATTTTTAATTTATTTTATACAAGGAAAATTAATTATATTAAATAAATTTTTAATTATTAGGTTGCACAGAATTTACTAAATGATGTTGAATTACGCATTTATGTACATGATGCATATGGTAAAGGCTTCATGAAAGTTAATTCAATGTCACCGGATGCATACATACAAATGGCTTTACAGTTAGCATATTTCCGTGATGCTGGTAAATTTAATTTAACTTATGAAGCATCAATGACTAGACTATTCAGAGAAGGAAGAACAGAGACAGTCAGACCATGTACAATTGAATCTACAGAATGGGTGAAAGCGATGGAAAGTAAAGATACAAATGTAAGTTATGCTATAAAATTTATTACAATCAAAAATCTTATATAAATTAATAAATTACTGTGTATTATAATTTAATACATATTTTGATTTTTATATTTTTTAAACAGTTTGCTATAGTTTATTTACTTATTTTTGTTACAGATAGAGACAAAGTATGAACTTCTGTTAACAGCAGCAAAACAACACCAAAAAGGTTATCAAAATGCTATGTGTGGTAAAGGAATAGATAGACACTTATTTTGTTTATATGTAGTATCCAAATATTTAGAAGTGGACTCTCCTTTCTTAAAGGTAATGATTGCAAAAAAATACATTTATATGACATATGTAAGAAATGTTTTTAAAAAATTTTCCTTTTTTAGGAAGTTTTAAGTGAACCATGGAAGTTATCTACTTCGCAAACACCACATGGTCAAACTTCATTAATAAATTTGAAAAAACATCCAAATTGTATCTCTGCAGGAGGAGGTTTTGGCCCTGTAGCTGATGATGGTTATGGTGTTTCGTACATTATTGCTGGAGAAAATCTTCTATTTTTCCATATTTCATGTAAACGTAGTTCTCCAAAGACAGTAAGCATATAAATTATTGTAACATAGTTTATTATATAATTCTATGAATAATTAAAATGTTTATATCGTTTCCATTCTTTTTCAGAATGCTGCCCGATTTGCGAAACAAATAGAAAAAGCATTAGCCGATATGAAGAATTTGTTTCTTGAAAGAAAGAAATTGCAAGCTCAAAAGAATGGTTCTATGTAATCATTTTGCAGCAAAACACAATGCAGTTACAATAGTATACTAATGAAAATTTGTGATTTTAATTATCTTTTTTAATGTTTTAAGATGATCCCTTAACATTATCAAAAATGCATTTTTTGTAAGCTTATTCAAAATTATGTTAAATGGAAAATATTCAAAAGTACAAACAAAAGAAATAAAATGTAAACAATAGTGTAAGAGATGCAACGTATTTGCATTAATTTACTTATAATATTTGCAAAATTTGATAAACTTACATTAACATTTTATATTCTATGATAGTGTATATTAAATTTAATAATGCACAAAGTTTAATTATACTTATTTTTATAATGAATATTTATGAAAAGCATTTTTATATGAAAAAGATATTGTCAATTATAACAGTAAAAAGTTCTGCCACTAAACATTTAAAAAGATGTTTAAGATATATTATTATTTTTATATTTTACACTCTCAGGTAAATTCTTATAAGTGAGATTATCTTAAAACCTATTGAAAATCGAGCGTTTTATAATTAAGATCAATAAAAAAAACTTAAAGAAAAATAAAAACTAGATAAATAGTAGTTGCTAAAAAAGTGTAGAATAAATTTATAAGCAGACTATTGTTTGATTAGTAAAATCGTTCATTTATTATGTAATGAGCATAGTACTAAATATTGTAAGTTTTAATCTCTTCTATGTATTAGAAGGTTAAAAATTTAACTCTTAATGCATTATTGACTTTTTTCATATAGAGTAGATATAAAAGTATAATACTTTTAACTTTGTTTGAATTCTTTCAGTAACACATGAGTTACATTTGTTGCATTCAATACCTGCAAGATGATTACTAATAAAATTATTGGGAATTGCGAGTGCATTGTATGTTGTTAATCATATTAGTATTCAAGTATTGAGAAACAAAATAACAAATTTGTAATTTGTAATTAAGTAATATCAGTAAAATTGACGAATAATTACTATTTGTATTCTAATTAAAAAAAAAAAAATTGTAATTTATTGATAAGTTTTATATTAACAACTCGTTATTCTTAATACAATGTAATCGCATTAATAATTAGTTTACGATATATTAAATAATATGCCATAGATCGATATCTGCAACCTATCAATGCAAAATTTTAATGTTATAAGTAGTTTTTTATATATATACGTATACGTATATTACTCATTTTATTATGTCTGTGTTAAAATTATATTTCAAGGTACTGGTGCTTTTATAATTTTATTACTGGAATTTACAATTTTAAGATAACTATGTTATTCTATTTGATGTAAACAAAAAAGGAACAATGAAATATATATTAATAAAATGTACCTATTTTGATTTGTAAAAATTTTATATATTTTAAGTATGCAATAATTTAATAACTTTTTTCATAGAAAAAGAGAAAAGAAAAATAAAAGTTTTGTTTTGTATTTCTTGAATACTTAACTTAAAAGTAGTTAATGCTTAAATTATATGCAAATTTTTTCATATAAAACTGAAACAATAAAATATTTGGAACTTTTAATTAAATTATTTTAGTATCTTTTTTTTTCTTTTTATAATGCCAAAAATATGATATTGAAGTAGCTATTGGAAAAAACTAAATGCTGTCATTCTATTATTATATATTATTATATTATTAT